GTAGAAGCATTTCCAGTATCAAATGCCGATGCGAAAACCACAGCAAAACTGTTCGTTGAAGAAATTATTTGTCGACATTCAGCTCCTCGTACATTACTTTCTGACAGAGGACGAAACTTCACTTCGAGTTTGATGAAGGAAGTATGTGATTTAGTGAATACAAAGAAGATATTTACAACTGCTTACCATCCTCAGTGCGATGGATTGGTAGAGAAATTCAATGACACTTTAACAACTATGCTGTCAATGTTTGTGAATGATCATCAGCGAGACTGGGATGTTTTTATTCCATATGTTTTATTTGCCTATAGGACAAGTATACAGGAAACTATTCAGGAAACACCATTTTATTTAGTTTATGGAAGGGATGCGCGATTACCAGTTGATGTGGCATTATCTGAACCAACTCGTAGATATACTGATGTGGACGAATACAAAAATGTTATATTGAATCGATTAAACGAGGCCTTCACTTTAGTGAAAAGTAATATAGAACTTGCCCAACAAAAGCAAAAACAACATCAGGACAAGAATGCGAAAGAACCAGAATTTAGTATTGGAGAAAGAGTATGGATTTACTTGCCTGTGACCAAACAAGGTCTTACTCACAAATTAATTCATCCTTGGAATGGACCACATCGCATAATAGAAAAAACCTCACCTGTGAATTTTAAAGTTGAAAGTTGTGATAACAAAAGAAGACAGCAGATTGTGCATGCAAACAGAATGAAGGCATTTGTTGATCCTGAAGATTTACCACCTAATCTGCGATTTAATGAAGAACATTCTGACAACGAAAGCGAATGTGGAGATGAGAATCAAGAGAATTATCCAAGTGATGAAAATAATTCAGAATTAGAAAATGCACAAAGAACAGTGTTAGAACCTGAAATAGTAGAAGTTTGTGATAAGTTATGGTCCAGGAATGATAAAGGGAGAGCAGAAGCTAAATTTTTTGTGAAATATAAAAATGATGAAAAAGAAAGTACATGGGTTGATTCTTCACTAGTTCCAGGAAATTTAATTGAGGAATTTGAAAGAAATTATAAAGGTCGAGGTGCTGCGTTTAGACAAAGAAAAAAATAAATTGGTGACACAGTGAATAAGTGTGCGGATTACTAGGATTGTGATTTTCATGTGAAATTGTGAATATGTTAGTTCAGAAGATGAAGATAATGGTGATTCAGATAAATTTGACAGGAACCGTGACTTGCGTAATGTACATTAAGATGGCCAGTGCTCCAAAACCATATGGATGGCTCCAAGTTTCATTGTGCAGTGCTCCAAAAACACATAAATTTTGGAATTTGGCATTTGTCAGCCCAGGTCTATATATTGGACATTGGAAAGAAAACAACTTAAACTGAAATTTACTTTCTTGGAGAACATTCAACTTATTACATGTATTATTATGGATTATTCTAAGAACTATTGTTCACTTTGTAACAGAGAATTTAAACACAGACGGAATTTATACAGACATAACAGAGAGTGTCATTCAAATGGACATGACGATCACCAGTGCCCTGTGACGACGTGCGGCAAAAATGTTCGGAAGAAAATATGCTTTAACACACCACATGAAAAAGGACCACACTTATTATGATGTGTGAGTCTGAGTCTGAGCTAGTGTTTGTGACCATCAAGAACGATATGTACTCCGACATTTCGATGAAGAAGAAGAGAACTTTGGAGAATTCTTCACAAATTATTATTCTCCTGTGAGCAACTTATCAATAACATCATTAGAGGAAACAAAGGAAACTCTTATAAATCCAGAGGACGACGAGCCCCAGGACTATGAAGTGAGTCCTAACAATGAGGAAAAAAGATGTGTCTAACCTTGAAAGTTCAGATGACCTTGAGCGGGAGGAACAAGCCGAAGGACCCAATGCCGATTTCAACCACACCAAGACAGTGGAATTCATGTGTGTAAACTAAACGTTAAAAACATACCTACATATATACCTATGCAGATGGACATCAATCTATCGAAAGAGAGACTGGAATAAGTTATAGTAAAGGATTAATACCAGAAGAAATTGACTTTTCTGAAATTCCGACGAATATCATCAATGAAGTGCCAGAACATTTGAACAATTTGAGAAATCGTTTCGTGTCCGCTGAAATTTTGTGAATTCTCTCGTACTTCGTGTTGATGTGCATTTGGACTAAATGACTGATTTTGGACTTGATAAATTATTCGCTTTGGATTAATATTTTCTATGAACAGTTTAACTTATAATCTGTGATACTATGGACAGCTCAATACATTCTTATGAACAGTTAAATATTTTTTAAATTGTATAACTGATGTTACACTGTGTTGATATATGTTTAGTGGTTCATCTATTGATATATATTAGGGTTTGTTACTTAAGTAGGTGATGAAGAGATGCTCATGGGAAGATAATGATTTAAACTAATCAATGAAATTTAGATTTTACAATGGATTTTAAGGTGTATAGATTTGTTTTAGTAGGTTAGTTCTTTTTGATAAACGTTTCCATAAGGTATTTAGAGGACATGTTGTAGTTTTAGTGTTATTGTAATAGTAGTTGTAAACTGAGGACAGTTACTTAAAAAGAGGGGAAGGAATGATGAGTAGTAATTTTAGGCTCAAAAGTAATGAAGTGATTTATTATTAAATGTCCAGAGTTACAGGCATTTGGATGCATTGCCCAGACTAGTCAAGCTGTGTTAGGGTAATTAAAAGTAGAGCAGTGTCTAGTGTGGTCAAGAATAATGAGTCTTTAATGAGTGGAGCAATGGGAGCTATTGTTCGTAGAATCGGGAGCCATGTATTGAGTTAAAGTCAAGCTAGGTTATGACAGTTTGATAAGGATTTGATAAAGATATATGTAGAGTTGGAGTTAGTTAATTAATAGGATGGAGCTAATGTTTTAGATAATCATCTATTGGAGCTAAGATTAGTATATAATAAGTGTGACATTTTTAGAAGGGGGGAGTGCTTTGCTAGGATTTAGACAGTACATATGCTAGCATAAATGTAACATCTTTCGTTTGTATTGTGCCTCCTCATTGTATATATGTAAATAAATTAGTACACTGTTTACTGACTTTTTATTGGATTTAGCATTACAAGGATTTATCAACCAAGGATATCTTAATTATAATTGGATATATACTCAGTGGAATTAAAAAGTTATAATTGCTCGGTCACCTCCGTGACATTCCTATGCATTTCAATAACTTTGACCCCCCCCCCCCTTTGTGGGCCCACCCTTTCCCCGGGAGTCTTGATTTGAACAAATTTGAATCTACACTACCCTAGGATCCTTCCTTGTACATGTGACCAAACACGGCTTTGCTGTTCTTTTGTGGCCCACTCTACCCTTAAAGGGCATGGTTTGAACACTACCCCATAATGATTCCACTTAAACATGTAGATTTTTTAAATAATGCCACATTTTCCCCAAAATCATAATTACTAGAATCTTTCCTTGGAAGAAGGCGTGGTGCTTCATTTGGATTGACCCAGATGATTAGTTACGCAAGAGCATGCTCTATGTATGAACAATTTCTTAGACAGGTAAATTATTGACAAGCAAGTTGGTGATACAAGAATATCAACAGTCTCGTTTAAAGTCATCATTTCGTAAGTTCTATGGTCGATACCATGACATTGTTTGTCAGCGAATACAATTCATCATTGAGTCAAATGATGACTGACGTTTTTCATAAAATTGTTAGTCCATTGCTTATACACTGAATTGACGACGGGTTTTTCCGTTATTTCCAGATCATGACAATGAGCACACGGCGGATGTGACCGGTCAGCAGGGGATGCTCATTCCTCCATGGCACCTGATCCCACCTCTGATGTTTCGGGGATCCGTGTTTGCTCTGCTCCTAATTTGTATTGTTTTAGGGACTTTGATATTGAATCTTATTTGTTATCAACATCCTCCTTTGACAATCTTGAATTCCCTTTACCCAAGGATACTTTGTTGAAACTTTGGTTGAAATTAACCCAATGGATTTTCAGTAGAAAATGAAATGTGAAAAGTTTCCGACAATGACGACTACAACAGACAAATTTTGATCAGAAAACTTGAGGTACGTAATGTGAGTAACAGAGTTCAAAAAATGATACCTCCGCCTCCCATATAATTATAATGGCAAAGTCCATTTTTACTACGGAAGACTCGAAATAAGTGTCAGATCAAAAGGCAGAACAGAAGGTGCACAAAAGCACTATGTAATAAAGAATCTATGAAAGTATAATGAAACTTTATTCATTGATATAGGAATAGTTGCGATTAGAGATGAGCAACCCTCAATATTATTTTAAAAAATGGCAGTCTCAATGTCCTCTATGGAAAAAAAAAGCAAAATATGTGTCGAATCAGAAAAAGAAATCAAAAGTGCGCAATTGTACTATTGTAAGGCTGTGACAGTCTCATTAAATTTTATTCAGTGGTATAAAAGTATTTGCGGATAAGAGATCGATGCCTAAAAGTATAACAGACAGACTGCCCATCACTATACATCCCTCTAGGCCTGCTTTTCAAGTATAAATACATGTAATATTTTAGGGAGGAGCTAGATGTAGACTATGAATACCTATATTTACTTTATTTTAAGTTTTATAAGTTGTTCTTAAACATTTGTAGAATCGAATCCATTTATGTTTTTAAGTGGAAAGAGACATATATGACAAATATGACACATGAGGGGACCGGCTGGGGTTAATTGCACAATTATACTTTGTACACATGCATCATAGTAAAATTTTCTGTTTTAAAGGAACTATTTTACATCATAAATAAAATTTAATAAAATTAAGAATTCATTGGTTAAAATCCATTGTTAAAAATATTTTGTATAAACTCCATAAAAATGGGAAAAAGGCTTTAAGCAAAATACCCCTCGTTTCCAACTATCGTTGATGCCCTGGCATATACTCTACTAACAAGACAATGATTTATGAAATATCTACTGTATTTAAATTTCATAACTATAGCAAACATTCATACCTGCCATCTGTTTTATAGCTGTATCCCTGCTTAAGTGATGTGGATATCCAAGTCCAAAATAAAGAAATTTCCAAACTGGAGAAAGCGAAACAATACATTATCTTAAAATGATAACTCCCTCTCCGACGAGTTGAATTAAAGCATTTTCTTATGTTCGAAATATAAATATAAATAAGCATTTAAAAAAACAATCATCGACATTAAGATGTATAATTTTGTGTTCTGTTGGAACTTATTTCATTAGAGGTTGCTTTGCAATCCACTCATTTTCTGTTTGTCATTTCCACTGTTATTTGATACCTCAGAAAGTGTTGAGTTGAGGATCTCGAATTATTTTTTTTAATTGTTCGTTCCAAATGTTATTTCTTTTTGAATTGTGGGAAATGAATATAATAGTTACAGCTTATAATAACATGTTTAAATGTAGGAGACAAACTTTATTTTTGCATCTCCAGACAAAAATACATTGAAAAGCGGCGAGATAAGTTTATTTTTAAGGTGTCAATTTTTAGTTTGTCAATACTCCGCAAAAACGAAGACTATCTTAATTTAAGGGGGCCGACTGGGGTTTCCATTGCATAATACTTCGAGCATCATACAATGTAGTATATTTAGTTTTAAAGCATTCTTTTCATATAATTAAAAAATGAACAAAACTAGGAAATTACAGTTTGAAAAAATTAACTACAATTTTATTTAACTGATATTTCTCAATTGATAGGTAGATTGACGTCGTGAAAAAGTGCTTTTGACGTTATGATTAACTGAAGTTCTCAAGAATGACGTTTACTCAGATAAATTCTGACTGATAAGAATGGATAACAATCTATTTCACATTGTACGTTAAATGTCAATTTTACAATTAATTTCACAAAATGACCAGCGTTTTCTTTACTTACAAAATATTATAGACAATAAAACTCTTTTAATAATGAAATATAATAGGATTGAAAAGGTAGAATTTTGTGTCTCGTACCTATAATGTACAATATAGCATTACTCATCATATATTATAAACTGGGCAGAATTGTAGTAATTTTACAATTTGCTTTAAAGTGCATAAAATTGGCACTTTCCAATTTAATTCTGTCAATGTATCTGTATTTTGAAAATGATAACTTTAAAATACATGGACAGTAGATTTTTCCCTAAACTTGGCTTGTACACTGAAGTCAAAGTAAGTTACATATGGTATGAAATCAAAGAATTTTTCTATTGTAGTTGTCACACAATAAAACCATGTCCTCTCCCTTAAGTAAACTTTATTTATTCTAAAAACTTTATTTTAATATTTTAATTATGAAAGTTCAATCGAATATAAATTTTTGATGAATATACTAGTAATTTACTACTGAATTCGTCTTTGAAGCATTTTGGGTGGTATTGAGTTATGACATTTTTAAACTCAAGTTATTGGACACATGATGAATTAATAATCGGGTAATAAAGCATGAATATTATCATTATCGTCATAACATTATTTACAAAAAAAAAAACAAATTGTAAATAATGTAAAGCCAAAAACAAACAAAGCATACCCGTATGTTCACTTAAACATTCGCCATTCCTGTAAGCCTCGTATTCTGAAAAGAATTGAAAGAAAAACAATATCCATCAGCAAAATCTTTAATACGTTTCAAATAGTTTTTATCGAACTCTTAAAGTGCACTTTGAGAATTAATTTCATTATATATGTATAAGTTTTATGACTATTTTAATAGTTGGATTTTTTTTTCCTCCATTACTAAATATGTTTGTTCTTTGTATACTCTTTAGTATCTTCCGATACTACATACCAAACTCAAATATTTCTGTGAATGATCTTTGCCTAAATTTAGGTATTTGTTAGAACAGGAGGCAATTGAGCTTGTGATAATATAAATAACATTTTTAATATAAATAGCGAATAAAAAAAACCCAGAGCAATGCTACTTACGTTCACTCTTGGAGAGTTCGTGGTTTGGGGAACGTGTTACTTAAAGACAGAACATTTATAGAATAGGTAAATATACAAGAAAATTATATCAGGAAGTACAATATTCTGTGAAAGGATAAAAACATAAAATACATAATAGATATTAATAGTTATTCAAATATTAATTACTGAACTGTATTTGTGTGTAAGATTAATTTAAAAGATAAACAAAAACGTTAATAAAATGATTGATGTGGGCACTGCGTAAACTACTATTTTGCGATATGCCAGTCAAATGGAAATGGGCAAAGAGATGAGGAATACAGAATTATTAGAACTATGTAATTGTTGTAAATTCATTCTGCACCAGATAAAATGTTCTATCAATGAATCCTAAGCTTATCTTAGATGCTCTCTTAACCCTTTAACGGCCAGAGATTTTGCAATTTTTCTGCATAACTGCCTAA